TTGCAAAAGCTTATAAATCCAAATCCTTTTCAAATGAAAAAACTGTAGCATATTTGAACTGCATACATTTAATATCATGGCTAAAATTATACAATAACAAGCAGAAACACTATAGGCAACTTTAATTACATGACTTCTAGAAATAACTATACTTGGCCCACTTAAGCAATTACAGCAAACAGAATCAGACCTGGATGAATAAAACTATATGGAAACAATTCAAATCCATTTCCATAGAAGGAAAAGAGCCTTAGGAGACTAGGGTGTCTGTACAACATTAGCCTTTTGGACGAGATTGATAAAACCTAAACAAATGATAAATACTTTCTTAAAATTACTGAACATCTATTCGTTAATACCTGGAAAATTTGACGATCCCACTATTTTCACCGTATCCTGGGTCAAGCGAAAACCTCTTGGTAATCGAATCAAATATCCAACTATCAAGAACAAAAACAAACGATCAGCAATCTGCTTTGTTAGAAATTCCAGGGTATTCTTTAGTAGAGTATATTTACTCTACTAAATATAGAGTTATCGGTTGAAGAGATGCCAGCGAAATTACTCTACTTCCTGCTTCCCCCTACTATATCTCATCCTTGTTTTTTTTCTACATCCACTCAGAAAACTCTGTTTTTAAAGTCCCAATGCCCCACGCCTCAAGACCCAAATCACAAGTCCCTCTTCCTTGAAACCTGTATGTCCTGATCACTTACTTTCCCTCGCTCCCATCACCAGCACCTCTTCAATGACATGCACTGTACATTGTATTAGTTCTTTATGTACACATGTGATTTTTCTTGTTATAGACTCCATCAATGGTAGAACCTATGTATGTGTCAACCTATGAAGAACCAGTACCAAGCATCTTGCACATGGTACAAACTAAATAATAATAGTTGCATACAATATATTCTGATATTCTTCGGTCGTTGCTGAATGAGCAAATGGGCATAATAGTGTGCACTGACCAAGTCGTAGGAGCACTATAAAAAAAACACAGTAAGGCATATACCCAAAAACATTTAACAGAGAGGGAGGAGAGTGCAAAGAAACAAGTATGGTATTCAAAGTCAGAAAACCACTTACTGGTCTTAGGAAAGTCACCTTAAACTCTAGCATCTTCAGTTTTCTCATCTGCAAAATGGGACTGAACTGCAGATTTACAGTTACTGTAGGGGCTGAACCCAAACTATCAGATGCTATGTAAGTATCAGTCTTTTCGATTCAGAGCTTACATACTAGACACTGCCTGCTTTGTTCTATTTATTCTATCCTCAGGTCTGATCTTGTCATCGGATCAACAGGTAGCTCACACACACCCCATCACATCTAGCATAAGACCAGGGGTCAGGGTCAAGAAGCATCCTTCTCCTACTGGGTAATTAAAGGTTACGGGCTACTCCTTACATATCCTAGAACCTTACGAGCCCTGACGCCTAGACTTTGGAATAGCTCGGAATGTCTATTCATTTCTTTCCTTTCTCCTCCTTAGCCCATGCCTTCCTCCACAGTCCCTCTACAATTACATTCCTGGAGGACTTCTTTTCTCATTTCTCTTCTTTTGTACAACTTGTAGCATTTTAAGCAACTCCCTTTTGTGCTTTTTATTATTCGATTCTGGGAGAGACTTTATTAAAAAAAAAAAAAAAAGGGTCCAACATTTGAAGGCTAAACAACGCTGCCAGTTGTTTTCCAGTTACAGGACACCGGCTGAAACTCCCGCTTCACTTTTGTGTTGGCCAATAACCGAAATAACATTTTGGAAACAGGATGGAACTTCTTGGGGCACAAAGAGGGCGACAAAGGGCGGCGGGAACACGTCAAACCCTTGAACATCCCAGTCTCTCCCCCGTTTTACGACTAAAACCAGTAGATGGAGCCCCGCGACCACGGATGATCACAAAGCTCCGTGTGCAACCAACCCCGTGTGGGGCCGACAACCGCCCGGGGCCAATCGGGGAGCTGCTTCACAGCCCATCTGACTTCAAACCCGGGAGCCCTGCTGCCTGTACGGAGTCAGCCGCTGCCCCGCACAAACGCGCGTTCCCCCCGCGGGTTTCCAAGAAAACACACCCCCCCCCCCACCATGGCCGGTACCGGAGTTTCTTCGGTTCGGCGGGCGCACGTGACCCGAGGGGGGTGGGGGGAGAGAGCCCGCCGTCCGGGCGCCGGCGCCTCACCTGACGAAGACGCCCGCGCCACGAAGGCGGAGAGCAGGAGGACGACCGCGGCCCGGGAGAGCGGGGAGCCCGCGGCCCGGGCCCGCCGCCAGCCCCGCCG